ATTAATTATTTCTAATTATTCCCAATTCATTTCCTTCCCTTCTCACTCCTCATCTCCCAGGCCTGGAAAAACACACCCTTCATTTTACAACTTTAAATTTTACACCTTTGGTCGTCAAATTCCCTTTTTTTTTTGTTTTTGGACAGGTGCAGATTTTATCCCTGCCCTGCCTGCAATAAATGTAGGTCACAACATCAGATCTATCCCTGCCAAAAATAAAAATAACCCTCCTTCCCTTCACCCCCCAGAAAAGAAATGGTGCTAAAGGGCAAAGGAATGCAAAATGCAACTTTCTGTTAAAACACAACAATCGGGAAAGAGAGGCCTGGAGGGAAATTTGCCAGATTTAAATGATGGCATTAAGGCTGGATTTATTTTTGCATCATTTACTCCACAATATTCCCTTTTATCCTGTTCAGCCACATTCCTTCTCTATTTTTGGTGCCTGAGCTTACAAACACCTGTTTGTGTGCTCCATTCTACACATCAGCCTGCCCAGCTCCAGGGCAAAAATAGCTTTTATTTATTTCTTATTTTTGCTCCCTTCTGCTGGCCCCAAAGCTGGATTTCATTCTGGCCTCGGGCTGGATTCTGAGGTCAGGGGATTATTCTGACCAAGAATTCACATTGGAGCCACAAAACCCAAAAATTACCTTAAAATTTGGTCTGAATTAAAGTTTTGGGGTCAGTTTGCAGTGCCTGGGAATAATCAGAATAACAGGAATAATCAGAATAATGGGAATAATCAGAATAACGGGAATAATCTGAATAATTGCTCCTTCCCACAGCCAAAATTCCTTCACACAGCCACAGAGTGATCATTCAGATTATTCCTATTATTAGATTATTCCCATTTTCCCCATTATTCAGATTATTCATATTATTCCCATTATTGGATTATTCCCATTTTTCCCAGTGATTTGGGAGCCAGCAGAGGAAACCTTGGCAAGGGCAAACAGAGCAATTATNATAAAACAGTGCCAGGCCTGAGTTGCCCAGGAGCCAGGGGAGGTTATTCTGGGCACATCCAGCGCCTCACACGTGCCACAGGGGCCATTGTGGATCTCCCTGGGCTCCCTCTCCTCTCAGCTCTTTCCTGCTCTCAGATGGCCCCAGCCGAGCTACAGGAGGAAAGGTCAGCCCGACCTTGGCTGCAGAGCGTGCATGAAGGAATAATTCCATTTAAACGCAATAATTTGCTTTTTTAGCTCTGCCTGTCTGATATTTCTGCCTTTCATGCTGCAGCCTGTCCAGCCTGGAGTCTGCAGGGCTGGAATTGCTGCTGGGCCAACCCCGAGCTGGGCCTGGAGCTGCTCAGAGGGGCCCTGCAGGGACCCAAACCCCTTTCCCAAGGCACAGAGCTGCTCCCACAGCCCCATTTGGAGGGTGAAATGATGAGGAAATGAGAATTCCTGAATTCCTGAATTCCTGCATTCAGGCACCTCCTGCCCCAGCACCTCCCTCCCTCGATGCCTGTGAAACCCCAGCACAGCAATTTGCTTACGTGGGGATAAAAACCCATTCCCAGCCTATTTTCCCCCCTTTTTTGACAATCTCAGGTACTTTATGCTTGTCAGCGCCTTTCAGACGTGCTGATCTGCTTTTCCCCCTCATGAATGAACGCCAGCCCTCATTTCCCAGCCTGGCAGCAGATCTCAAACACAGAGCTCAGCCCGGGCTGAACTCAGGCACGACCAATTTGGGATGAAGGAGCCTCATCCTCGCTCCAGAGTGGGGAAAACACCTGGAGGCCTTTAATTAGCCCACAATTAACGGTGCTTGGGGTCGGGGAGGACTTTCAGGATCATCTCATCCCACCCCACACCTTCACCACCTCGAGCTGTTCTAATCCAGCCTGGGATGGGGCGGCCACGGCTCCCCTGGGAATTCCCTCATCCCAAAATTCCCTCATCCCAAAATTCCCTCACCCCAAAACTCCCTCATCCCAAAATTCCCTCCCCCCAAAATTCCCTCCCCCCAAAATTCCCTCATCCCAAAATTCCCTCACCCCAAAATTCCCTCACCCCAAAACTCCCTCACCCCAGAACTCCCTCATCCCAAAATTCCCTCACCCCAAAATTCCCTCACCCCAAAACTCCCTCACCCCAGAACTCCCTCACCCCAGAACTCCCTCATCCCCAAAATTCCCTCACCCCAAAATTCTCTCATCCCAAAATTCCCTCATCCCAAAATTCCCTCATCCCAAAATTCTCTCATCCCAAAACTCCCTCACCCCAAAATTCCCTCACCCCAAAATTCCCTCANGTCCTGTTACTGGGAATGCTCCTGAGTGTCACTGGGAATTGCCCAGTCTGTCACTGGGAATGCTCCTGTGTGTTACTGGGAACTGGCCTGTGTGTCACTGGGAATTGTGTCCTGTTACTGGGAATGGTCCTGAGTGTCACTGGGAATGGTCCTGAGTGTCACTGGGAATTGTCCTGTGTGTCCCTGGGAATTGTCCTGTGTGTCCCTGGGAATGGTCCAGCCTGTCACTGGGAATTGTGTCCTGTGTGTCACTGGGAATTGTGTCCTGTTACTGGGAATGGTCCTGAGTGTCACTGGGAATTGTCCTGTGTGTCCCTGGGAATTGTGTCCTGTTACTGGGAATTGTGTCCTGCTACTGGGAATTGTCCAGTTTGTCACTGGGAATGGTCCTGTGTGTCACTGGAATTGCCCAGTGTGTCCCTGGGAATGCCCAGCCCGTCCCCAAAGGGATGGGAAGGCCTGGTTCCCCTCCCACCCCACGGATTGCAGCTTTTGGGAGCCCAGAGCTCAAAGCCCAGCCTGGTTTGGGGTGGAAGGAGCTGCA